CACCTGCGCACGCACACCGGCGAGAGGCCGCACCGCTGCACCTTCTGCTCCAAGAGCTTCAGCCAGAGAGGGAACCTGCGTCGACACCTGCGCATTCACACGGGGGAGCGTCCGTACAGCTGCCCGTACTGCTGCCGCACCTTCAGCGACGGCGACACCATGAAGAAACACAAACGCACGCATTCGGGAGAGAAACCGTACCGCTGCGCTCAGTGCTCCAAGACCTTCACCAGCGCCAGCGGCCTGCAGATACACCTGAAGAAGGACATGTGCCTCGTGGCGAACGCCTGATTGAGTTCACGCATCAGAATGTTTATTTTAATGAAAGAATGAGAGCGTCACAAGCCAGGAGGATGTGCATTCATACAAATATATAATAAAGATGTAGTTTATCAGTGTTAACATCCAAAATCTGAACGTCTTTACACAAACTGCACAGTTAAAGCTGCAGCAGGTAACTTTTATAAAGATAACCTCTGTCCTGACAGTAGAACATGAGAAGGAATCCGGTTCGTGTGGTTCTGAATGAAAACAACCAATCAGAGCAGAGAAACTGAGAGTGAGCCTCAACAATCGACTATGTTTCTTGAACACTTTCTTTTAGAAGTGATCATTTTGCGTGTAAAGACGTAAAGATGTTGCGATAAAGACAAGACGCTGTTTGTTTACAACCTGCTGGCTCTGTGATGTGGCTCCGTTGTTATTCTTGCAGTAAAATCTGTGTTTGAACTCTGGAGGACGAGCAGCACCTGTCACCTGTAGGAACCGCGGCGGACAGCAACGACAGACGAGCTTTTACATTTCCGCCAAGCGTCTTTAAGGCTCTCTGTGTTTCCCCGAACGGGACGGGGTTCAGTTTATAGGCAGCTACATTTTATCTTATATTTATTTATTTATTTATTTTCATCTCTGGAGTTTTCCTTCCTGGACGCTGAGGATTCATCAACAGAGACAAACACTCAGCACACGACAGTAACAGTGTTTCCATCCAAATGTGTCGCGAATTCGAACAGAATTTTGAGTAATTTGGCAAAAGAAAATGTGAAATATAATATTTCTTGATTCGAGCCAAACATCTGAAACATCTCCTGTCAGTAATGGGTCAATTGGACAAACAATTTCTGATTTATACTCTGATTTGTGTCATTTTTTATGGCGCCCCCTGGTGGTGGATTAAAGCTCATTGGTCAGAAACTTTATAACTAAATAAGATAACAATAAGCCTTATTACATCTGTTGATCAGCTTCATCTGATGATGATCTGCAGAAGATCTGGTAGCGATCTGACCGACAAAAAAATGTATTTTCAAAAACATTTAAAATGGCAAAAATATAACCTGGCGGACTTTAATGGTCCAAGAGGAGTTTATGTTGAGCACATCGAGCTGGACTCGTGTGTCCAATCTCAAGTCAGTCAGACTTGTGGTCTGAGGGGCGTGGCCTTTCCATAAATTTGAGTTTTGGGCGTTAATTACAGCGCCACCATCTGGCCGAAGTTTCATGTTTCTAGCTCATTCCTGGGCTGGAATTTGAGCTTCTGTGGCAGACTAATAATAGTAATTAAAATAAGTATAATATTAACAGCTTGTTTCTGTCAGACTACTATTATGTGGATATTAGGAGTTAGTGATGAGCAGTCAGGAAACCAGAAGAAGAGATTGCAACAAGACGATGTCATTAAAAGAGCCGCAGTGGAAGTTCATGCTTTAATGTGAGGAAGTGTTCAGTGAGTTCGTGTTCAATACGTCATTCAGAAACAGTGTCCATCTCCCATCAGCAAAAGCGAAAAATTAAGGGCAAATCTTGCTGTTTCCATCAAACTTTTCTAAAAATATTCTTCTAAACACATCGATGAAAACAGCGAGGAGAATCAGGACGAGGACTTGAAGAAATACTGCGAGGAATTCAAAATTTTTCTTTTTGCACTTTACCTGAAATGAGAAACGTGTTGCTGAACTGGCTCTGAAGTCCTTGAACCTCCTGAAGGTCAAAGCTTCAATCACAGATTCTGGAGGATTCTTCACCAGATACCAATACCTTATCAATACTGTCATATGACTGATATTCTAGTTCAGTCACATTCTTACTGGGGATGCACCATATGGATCTATTTTCAGCCGATAAGATAATTTCACATTTTATCAAAATAACACATAAATAAAAAGTATTTGTGATCTTTGATGAAAATAAATATTATAGGGTCCATTAAGTCGCTGTTCTGGAGCTTTCCATCATATAACACAGTCTTCCTCTGCAGTCAGTTAATGTCGACCTTTAAGCGAACAGAAGTTCTTCAGGTTGCTCAGAAAATAAAGGAACTTTATGTTCATCAGCAGAAGAAGCTGCGGCTCCAGAGCAGCCACTAAATGGACCCACTAAATCTTATTAAGACGTTTGTTAGTCGATCTGTTCCTGATACAGCAGTTACTCAGTTCGTAGACTCTGTTAAACTTCAGGTGTGTGAGCTCGTCGGCTCAATAACAGTTGTGTCACTTCCTTTCCAGGTGACGGGTGTTGGGAACAGACTGCTCGCTGCAATACTGAATATAGAATAATATAATATTTATTTTCTTTTATCAGTGTTAGAAGGCTTCAATCTCTCTCATATAATCATACTTTTGGAGGCAGCTGACTGTGAGACATGATGGGAAACTGAGTGCAGGTTTGTGAGCAGAGTCTGTGTGATTATCAGTATTTTGTATTGATGTGAAACATCTTGTTTTTTTTAGGCAAAATAAATGTTCAGTGAAACTGTCGAGCTTCTGAAATGTTTGATTGTAAAATTACTCGCTCCAAAATCTGCAGTTTAATTTATAACAAAACACATTTTTTATTAAAGTTCTTCATGTTTTATGAGTAAAAATGTTAATTTGTAAAGTAGCTAAAGCTGTCGGAACAACGAGTGCAGACAGACTGAGACACTGGGTGGAGACGTTGGGTACAGTGTTCAGTAGAGGTTCTGTGTCTGAATAATTATATCTTCTTATATAAGAACGGTGTGCCTCAGGGGTCGGTCTTGGGACCCATTTTCTTTTCTTTTTAAACGCTTCCTCTTGGGCACGTTATTCAAACACATGGGGCTAGATGCATAAAACCCTGTGCAGGTGTTAAAATCTGTGTACACACAAAACAGGAAACATGCATTCGCAGTCTTTTGGTCAGATTAATAAAACCTCGCCAACGTTTGTTCCTACGTGTTTTTCCTTTACACATCTGAATTTTCCTTCTGACCATTCCCACAGTTTACTATAAATGGGTTGAAACATCCTAACTGCCTGATCTGCATACGATGGAACAGTGTTTACAAACATTTTGAGGAGAAATGGCAAAAAGAAGAAGAAGAATTTTACAGAATCTGAACTGGAGGTAACGAAGGATCACATTGACAAAAGAAAACGTGTTATTGGATCCCGAAACTTATCTGAACACAAGAATGAATGATGAATGAAGGTTCAATCTGTTAAACATCTTGAGAGGTTGATAATAACAATAAAGTTTATTTATATATCCGAACACAGTCTAAAAAGTTCAGGCAGCCGACAGATGATCTAACAGGATGTAAAACCTGACTTTGACTGACCGCAGTTTTTTGTTGCCACCTGCTGCCGCCTGATCTCGTCCTCTTTCCAGTTCATCCGGAATGAATCCAGTACCATACTTCCTCGGGCAGAGGTCTGTTGTCAGTCCCAGAGGCCCCGGCTGAAAGAGGGCAGAGCGTTTACTGTCAGGACCCCGAGGCTCTGGAACAATCTGCCCGAGGAAATCAGGTCGGCTGAGTCAGTGATCTCCCTTCTTAAAACATACTTAGGATATCGGAGAGTCTTTCTTGATTTTACTCTAATTTTCTTATCTTTTATGTTGGTTTTGAAAGTGCTCTATTGATAAAGATTCTTATTATTATTATTATTATTATTATTATTATTATGAAAGAAAAAAGAAAAGACTCCTTAGATTTAAGAACAGCACTCAGGTAAAGGTACTGCAAACTCATCTGTATGAGGTGTGCAGTTTGTTTTCAGGACTTTACAGTATTGATCGTTTACTTGTGGTGTGTATTGATTAGTTCATTTCCTGTTTCAGGAGGCGTTCAGTGACCTTACAGGCCTGTGTGATGATGGACGGTGAGAACTTCTCACCTGACTGAAGAATCAATAAACCAGCAATTATTATAATAATCAATATCACCAAATATCCACCAGAGCGTCCTGTAATGTTAAATTATTGTTACAATTTGTCATTATAAATCACCAGAATTTATACTTTATTATATTTCCTGACATACAGACATTACTGTAAACTGAATTTTGGTGCAGGTGATTTATATATTACCTCACATCTTATGCTATGCTTTTACATAAAATATTGTATATTTACATTTATTTACCAGCCTTCAGAGTAAGATTTGAGATAAAAATATGTGACACGTTTTTTTAAAATAATATGCTGGATTATAGACTGAATTTCAATGCGGGTGAATCTTATACCTTATCTTATATTTACTATAAAAGTAGACTGAATTTTAAAACTGAATCTGAAACTTTTACTTAAGTAAATACAGGTTCTAAAATGTAGGACAGATACAGGTCAGCGGTCAGTGCTGTAGATACAGGGCACAAGTCAGTACTGTTATTATTAACTTTATTTCACAAGTTTTAGTAGAGTATAATCTGCACACACTATTAAATTACAACTGAGTTTGGGGTTTACCATTAGATGTGAATAACCAACACTTCTTTCTGCGAGCTGTGGATGCGAACAGTGGCTTCTTCAGGAAATGCAAATCTACCTCATTAGAAATGAACATCATATTTCCTGCTGGACACAAGATGTCTCTTCCTTCACTGAAGGTCTATTCTCAGTGTTGCTGGTGAATTACACTGTAGAAGTTATATACATTGACCCCCTAACTGACTGGAGGAGACTTTAAAACCAGTCCCACTGTGCTGTGAAGGTGCAGTTGTAGTGCTCTGCTCGGGCTGTAGGGGGCAGTAGTGGCCCACTCCCAGGTAAAGAACCATAAACACACTCATTGATCTGTCTGTTGCATTCCAAATTTATTGTTGCATCATTGTACATAAAACACCTGATAGAAATGTAACTGTAAAGCACAAGATCAGTGTAAACAACAGTTCAACAATATTGTATAGAAAGCCACATTCGTACATTCAGTCGTGCATAAAAGATGAACAATAACACTGTAAACAAGAAATTCAACATGAGGTGTACCTGAATGTTTCATCATGTCTCACTTCAACACTTTGAATTAGAAAACAGGCAGGGGGAGTATAGAGATATAAAGAAGTATATCAACATATTGCATCATGCAACAACGAGGAAGAACCACTTGTACTGATATTGATATCATCATCATCATCATCATCATCATCATCATCATCAGTCATGGCAACAATAGGATGCAGTTTGTTTTTCACAGTTGTATTAAGGAGTGCAATAGAGAAGAGATCCGTGCGTTACAGAGCAAATATCAGAGAAATGATACGAAGGAAATTCTGATTATTTTACCGATACGTTTGAAAGATGAGACCAACACAGCTGCTGATGGTTTACATTTTCTGCAGACGTTCTTTTTATGCCTCCAAATGTTCGCTAAACCCCTCCCCCGCAGTCAGTGATTGCCCAATCATAGCTTAGCAACGTAGGCATACGTAGTGAAAAGTGTGAGGGCTGGTTTTTATTATGTGTTCACAACAAACACGAAGCAAATTTTCGCACCGTGATTCGAGAAAAGTTTCCATTCACCTGAATATTTTTGAATTTGCGTATTCGTCCAATTTGCATCTTTGTATTGACTTTGTAATCTCATCGCGTGAAAAATGTGCTTCGTTATTTAAACATAGGTTTAAATAATGCATTGGTGGGTTTATCTGTTCTAATGTAACCTGTAACTGACACGTGACTCCCAGTTCGCCACTAGTGTTGATGGTCTTGAATCAGAGTTTAAGCTAACTTTAGTGGCTCTTGAATTGAGGTCGTTTATAATCCAGCAACCCCAGTAAATGCTACCTGAGCTAGCGTTACATCAGTCCTCATCCTAAAAGTGAAAACAAACTTACGGGACGTGTTAGCTTTAGCCTCAGTCTATTAGCGAGACATCATGACCTGGAACCTGCTAGTTCGCACTTGATGGCTACATGATACCAGTGCTAACAGACGGAAGCTAAACTTATTTTACAGGGTTTGGGTTTATATTTAAAAAAAAAAATAAAAAAAAATAAAAAGGTATTTAGCTGTAAACATTAGGACTCAGACAAAGACAGCATCTTCAGGTGCATCATGGAGCTAACGTTAGCTTAACTGGCTAACTAAAATAAGATATTCCTTTAATAGTCCCACAATGGGAAATTCCAAATTTAACTAACTAGTGACAGCTGGTAAATCTGCTTGCAAAGGTTGTCATTCTATCCACTAAAATTGCTTCTGTCTGAAATTAAGGAGCTATTGTTTCAAATGTTAATGTGAATTTTGATGTTGAATCTGTCACGTTTCCTGTTCTCTGTGTTGTACGGTCAGTGAGGGCTACAGTGGGGCTTAGCGAACGTTTAAGTAATCAGTATTCCTGCCGGTGTGGAGCAGCCTGTGAAACAGTATTTAAATCAGTGGACATTAAACTTCACCACACTGAGAGACTTCACTGTTAGCACCTTTGAAGACTGACCATCTATTCAAACCCTGGAACATTTCACTGAAATACTTCATACAGAAAAATCAAACAAGACTGAACAGTTGCAGGAATAAATCAAGTTACATGTCTGCAGCTTTTTCTGACTGTTTTTTCTGTAGCTGTCAGTGTTTCCAAATTTGACCTAATCAAAGCCACGAACCCACGCAATCATCATGAAAATTACCCGATTGCCTCGAGCCTCCCTGTTATATTCAGTATCTGAATATGAGTGCAAGAAGAAGAATAAACGTCTGGTCTTTTCTGTATAACTGATCTTAAAACCACAGCTGAGA